AGTAGCGTTTGACATCCGGGATGTTTGTAATTTTCTTTGACGGTCTGGTTCCTTGTGACAGCTGAGAGTGAGTTCTGCGGAATTCTGGGCATTCCTGTTGAGTGGCCTGCCATGCTGCCCGACTTGTGAAAGGCATCTTGGCGCCACCATCCACAACATCTTTAACGGAGAGTGACATGATGACAGAGTCCACAGATTCTGAGACAAACTTGCATACCTGACAAGTCTGATCAGTACACTCGACAGGATGTGTACTTGCATAATCTGAGGGCAAGTTAGCAGCACCTGAAATATGTGCCTCTGAGATCTGATGTCTGCTCAGGATGGAGAGAAATGTAGTCACTCTCGATCTAGTAGAGAAGGCACCTCGCAATAGTTTGTTGTGTGCCTGAACACAGGTTTTGACAGACAGTCGTCCCTGAGTTTCCTTTTTAGAGGCTGTTATATAGGGTGCAAAATGTCTGACCGAGGAGGCGATTGCAAGTGCCTCCAGTTCGCATGGTAGCCACTGCAACTGATGTTTCTTCAACTTCACACTGAAGAAGCCTGCAAGTCTAGTGTTGCCATCGCTGCTGACATACAAAGTTGCGGCAATTCCTTGTGATTTGATAGAGGCATCAGTGACAATACACAGGTGGTCAGATGTACGAGGTATGGTAATAGTTTGGCAGGAGGCCAGCGCAGACTGGGCACTTTCAAAGGTTTTCCTAGGATCATCAGTCCACACTAGTTTGTCAGAGGATTGTTTACCAGCCACAGCATTGTCAAGGGGATTCATTAAGGATGCATATCCGGGAAGAACCCTGCTCAGAGCCTTGTATGCCCCGATGAAGCTGCGCAACCCCCATACTGTAGGAGGTGGTTGAACAGCAACAAGGGCGGATATCTTGTGAGCACTCGCCTTTAAGGTTCCATCAGACATAATCCATCCAAGAACATTGGTAGATTTCGGGCATACAACAGCCTTGGTTGCACTCAGGTGGAGGTTGTTGTGTTTCAAGGCAGACAAGACCATGCCCCAATTGGAGAGGGTTTCTTCCGGAGATTAACCACCACAAAACAGATCATCTGCTAGTTTGATCACTCTACCATCTTGGATAAGATCCCCCCCAAACTCAACTCATCAGCTCTTCCAGGTACGCCTCTGACCCTGGCATGCCCATAGCACAGCGGGTATAGACACGTAGGCCCTTGTAGGGGGTCACAATACCACAATACTTCATCAAACTGTGGGATGGGGGATCTGGTAGAAAGACTTCAGCAAGTCTTATTTACAATAAACTTCCATTTCCTAATTTCTTGAAGGATTTTATCCACATGTGGCATCAGTGTAGGTTGGGGTTTACAGTCTTGGCTAACCTCTCCAAACGATGTGACCAATCGGCTTCTGCCTCCAGATTTCTTAACGAGAAAGGACATGCTTTGGTATTCAGTTGTGACGTTGACCTGTCCCAGTTTGGCGAATACCCCTTGTGTCTCAAGTACATCAAACATTGCTTGTAACATGTCCATTTCCTTATTATACTGCGGTAAACGGCCTTTCTGTTGAGGGGGAAGAGTCGGTCCCATGTTAACCACAGCCTTTATGTCTCCGCTCGCTCCATTGTAATTGGAGATTGAAGGGTTGAACACATCATCAAACTCTTCATTGAGGGAGGTAAACCTTTGACACATGTTATCAGGAAGGATGGCATCTGGGTTTATTGATACACACTTGGAAAAAGGTCTGGAGGTACCTGCAGTTGGTGGAGGGTTTGGCTCGTTCATCACAGGATGTAAATCCCCCTTGGGAGTTGGACTTGTAATTGGTCTCACTTGACAAAAGTGCTCATGATTCTTAAGTGTGATTTCATTGTCAGTTGTGTTTGCAATTCTAATCACGTGACCAATAGACATCACATCCTGACATGGGGGCCATGTTTTTGAGATTGGAACACCCACGTTGCTAGGACAGACCAGGGTAGGTTCCAGAGCCCAATGTAAGTCAGATGGGGTATCTTGTGGAATATTCACATCAATATACTCCCCAGGGAGTATGATTGTCTGTCTGGATGGGGCTCTTAGTACGGATGCCTGAGTACGTCGCACGGATTGCTGGACATAGTAGACGACCTTGGATCCTGCAATGACGATTTTGTTCTTGGCTGGTCTAGCCGTGATGTCGTTAAGCTTGAGGAATGGATTTCCTGCAAGAACATCTACATCCAGCTGTTTCACAACAAGTCCCCACGACCGAGAGTACACTGAACCTCGCCTACCACTTCTAATGGGGTGACACCATCGGCCTGACGGGCTCGTTCAGATGCCTTAGTGATCGGGAGGTTGATGGCAGATGCAAAGGAGGCCCGAACCATATTTGTGGTAGCACCAGTATCCAAAGTAAGACGAACAGGATGACTTCCATAGAATGCATTCAGGTACGGCAAAGGCTCTAAATTGACACGCTTGATACTATGGTGGTCAAGAAGCAAGTTTCTTTTATCGTGAGACGACCCCTGAAGATTCTGGGGTAGCATAAGTCTTCAAAAACCCATGCTTGCCGTAAACTAGCTAACTGCAACCACAAAGTCACTATCATATTGTTCATGGTAGGTGTGAGATCCTCATCAACAGTTATTGCTTGACCATGGTGTCTGATACCACAGGTAGTTGTCCGGAGGTTATCCTCGAAAAATGACATGATCCTATGATACAGGTCCTCAGGATGTTCATCCGCCTGTAGCTTAATATCAGCAATGTCCAAGAAATGGGAACCAGTAGACTGGAAACCATAATGTTGCCTTATTGTCTGCTAAATATCCTGAACGGATGTTGACTTTTTGATGATAGAATTTCTTGAAATAACAGGACAGAAATTAGCAATCTGGCCTAGCATCAAGTCTAGTTGAGCATTTTTCTGAATCGCTGTATTTCTACGAGCGGCATGGACATTTTCACCGTCGTTCGTATAATCTAAATTCATTACTGAGAAATGGGGCAAAGTATTCATCAAGTGATAAAATGTATGTCAAATTCTGGCGCCAATTCTCAAGTCTCTTGTTTCGTTTACTGCCATTGCTTTGGTGCACTTTGCTGGTCCATAATGCTTACACAATGCGAGTTCCTTCACTCGCATGTACTTAACGAACTTACGTGCACTACGATACAACGGCCGACAGACAGTTCGTTTGATGTATGAATTGTTCACTGATTGAAATAATTTGAGGGTGTACGGTTGAAAAGTCACTCCTGTGTGTTGGAATGATATTGCGACGTGGATTCAAAACCGCTGCCACCACACCAAGGATTAGTCAACACCGCAGTCTCAACTCAATGCAGTTTATTCCGCACCCAAAACATCGACAGACAAACCGGAAGTGGCGGTTCAACCAAAAGTTGAAATAAAGAAAAGCGAACGCGGAAGCGTGTAGTGGCGCTTGGTCAAAGAGATCCCTTTTATCCGCATCTACAAAATGTAGTCCAAGACAGGTGCAAAATTCTTTTTATTTGCTCCGAATCTGTTTTGCTGTCAACGTGCGCTTGTTTCAGTTTTTCATCATCATCGGCGATTACAGGATCAAGCGAGACTTCATAAGATTTTGAAGTAAGGTTATCTAGGTTATTTTCGTACAGTGTACATTTTATTTGATCATTGTCATTAAACTTCTGACAGTCCATATCAGACTCGCAAAACTGATTCGGTACGATCATCGCTTCGTGAATACCATAGAAAATTGTCTTTCATAGTTTGAGTGAGCTCATCTCCCCGAAGCAAGTGAGTTAACTGACTATAAAAGTCCAGTTTCCACCCTTGCCGAACTTGGCGTCAATTATTGAGTTATATTTTGGCTGGACTAACGAGTCACAGTCCAATCAAAATCGCGCAACGAAATCGAAATCCGGTTCGTAAACTGTCTTGCAGATTTCGGTCGATTGCAGGGTTTGCAAAGCTTGTGCACCGACAACTCGTTGTCAACAGATATTTTCTAAATCTTTTCATGTTTTTAATCAAGGTGCTCACGTGATTTGATGAACTTTGCAATGTAAGACTCGTTTTATCACAACATAGATCTTGCTTACCGATCAGATCGTCTTGACTGGGCGCCGCCATTTTGTTTGAAGCAAATGCAAGTGATACGAGAACTGGAATCTGATTGGTCCATAGGAGAGGCTTAGAAGGGACATAACTGGTAATAGCCATAGGTGACACTACGTTCGTGCCTAGGAATTCAAGCCCAGTTCGGCAAGGGTGGAAACTGGACTTTTAAAGTCAGTTGACTCCCTTGCCTCGGGAAGATGGAGTGAGCTGGGCAGCTGCACCATTCATCTTTTTCACTTCAAGCAGAATAGCTGACATGGTATTAGATAATGCATCGTCTCCAGCTAGTATGTGAATCAGGGTTATTGGTAGGGAGAGTGTCTGATTTATTACATCTCCTGGTTTGGGGTTTGGGTGAGGGATTCTCTTTCTCATTATCGCACATTATCGTCCACACTGCTTGCACGGCACCTCGGACCAAGATATTAGTTCAAGGAAAAGACACTGCCAATGGTGTGACATAAATGGGCAAATTAAAACTTGACACGGGACGTGACTGGTTGGTTGGTAGAATTAATAAATTAAACGAGGCTTACTTAAGAATAACAATGGATGTGTGTACTTATATTGCGATAGCCTCCATACACAAGGAGCATGTAAAACGCAGTAATATCGTTACCTCGATCAATGGATCAGTGGACATTCGATTATAATTCGCAGCTCTCAGCGTTTAATGCTGGGTGACCGAGGTAGATTTCGAACAAAGTCACTTGCCTAAGAAGACGCTACATGGGATTCAGTGTGGGGCACCATCAGCAGTCTAACTGCCAAACGAGGTCACCCGACTTTGCTCGCATTACATAACATTAACATTACATAACATTAGCCTGATGAGTAATGCGGGCGCTGTGGATAATAATACATCGATCTTTCGTGTATAATTATACAAAACAACTCTTCAAAGAACAGACTTGCAATATATCTTGACGAATGTCACACACAATGATCAAGTACCGAAAAAGAAATAGGACCAAACAACTAATGTGATATGTATATAAGGCTTAGATACTGGAGGAAACGTTACTCTGTACATCGTCGCAGCTTGGTGAGTATACCTTGTTTCAAGTGAGAGAGAATGAGTTTTGTTCAACGCTGCCTCAAATGATGTCTCGGTTATATCATGATATAGGAAGAAAGTGATGCCATTTATTTGGCATTTGTTTTCTTATTACACAATGAAATTTAATCATAAATAGATCTAATAATTAGATACATATTAATATACAAATTATTTCGATCTTGTGTTTCTGAACTATGTGTGTGCTTGTTAAAATGTCGGGTTTGAATGGGATAATAATAAAGTATATGTTCATAATTTTTAATTAATTTGGTACAGTGGCATACACATCCATGAGCATTCTATATGATGCAATATAGCCACTGGGGAATCCGTGTACAGAACAACATAAAGAAGTATGCATAGCATTATTTAAAAATAGTTATGATGATTATAATCATCGTGATAGATGAAATATATGTGTACGAAATTATCTACAAATAAACTACTCAATAACAGAAGTTAAGTTACATTTTTGTTCAAGCATAGGAAAAAACCCAGTATGATCATGATGGTAATACATAACATTAAAAGTGCACATGAATTGTAATATTTGAAGATGAAAGATGGAGACACATGTGTACTTTCCGCTATTTATTTGTGAACTGTTTAACTAGGGGTGATGATTAACCGGTACAAATGAAACCTGTCTTGACTATGAGTACCATAGTTTCTTCAGCTTAAAGCCAGTATCAAAGCATATCCTGACATCATTCAGAGCATAATATACATGTAGGTCTGACAGAATAAATAAATCACATACATGTAATAGGATATCATCATTTATTCAGCCAGTGAATAAAATGATGCATTTGATTCGGTTTGCTTCACACTCTTATGCTTTAGAAGTACTGCTTCCATACCTGGATCAACACACAATCAGTGATTTAGCTTTGAATTCTTGAGAATTTATACTGAACTTCTTGACCAATTTTGCATTGTAATTTACATACTAACAAGTTCCAAAACTCATTATGTATTTTTTTGTTTTTCATTCAGGACATCATGTTCATCAGCTTTGCGTGTTTTCAGATTCTTCAATTTGTTGTAAAAAAAATAAAAATCTCAGATGTCTGATTGTTGAAAACCCTTTGGAGGTATTGTAGATTGGTCAGTAGATACATCTTAAATTACAATTATTTTTAATTTGCTTGAAAGTTATGGTTATTTGTTACTTGCATGTGTGTTCCTTAGAATGCATTATTTGAATTTTGATAATAAATAATATGTATCATCATAACTCGGTGACAACCCCACCTCCCCCACCCCAAATATCATGTTTATGACAATAGACAGATGGGAACATTCTTAAATTTTAACAACTGATTAGCATTTTAGCAAATATGTCTTTGATAAACTACAGCCCTTGAAAATGTGTGTTTCACACATAGATTCCTCCGGTTTTCTTGAATGAAATCAGTAGCCACATTCAGGACAAACTGTTTGGGTGTCTCGATCTCAAACATGGCGTTGGTATCTAGTAGAATTTCATGGCATAGTGATTTTCCATGTCAACTAGAAAACCTGCCAATGGTGTAATTTATAATAACATTTTCTACAAACGCATGCTTTAGTTTCTTCAGTTGATTTATTGACACACCGTGACTACTGTTACATTTTTTAAAAACATTTCATTCTGTGAAAAAGAGAATACACATGGATGTGTATGGCACTGTAACAAATTAATTCAAAATAATGAACATATTCTTTATTAGTATGCCATTCACTCCCGACAGTTTTACAAGCGCACACATAGTTAAAAAACACTATATTGAAATTAATCAATTATTAGATCTATTTGTGATGAATTTCATTGTGTAATAAGACAACAAATGCCAAATAAATGGCTGTTCATGTGAATAAAATCCAGAGGCCAAATATCAGACCCAATGACAGACCCTATCATTTAAACACCATTGTACGGATAGTGGGCGTTCAATAATTCCGCTAAACCACCATTTCACAATGGAAGAAAACGGGGCGTAATCGGCGACATTTGCTTCATCAAATTTGCTAAAATAAAGATGCTAACGGTATTTCATTGACGTGATCGTTTAATTCCATGTATTGTGTATACGATTTCGTGACAACAGTGAGCTTACACGAAATATTAACGCACATATCACTGTTGAAAATGGGGTGTGTGTCATTGTTTACATTTCACCGATCGTGTCTCAAAACAGCTTAAATAATGTTTTCCTTCACTAAAAGTAATAATGGACGTTATTCTCGTGACATATACATTGCAAGAGCATTCATGAAATTGCTAAGAAAAAATATTAACCACCCGTTCTAGCGTTTTTCTACAGTAAATACATGGCGTGTCCGCCATGTTTGTTCGTCTAGTGGAGGCGGCCATTGTGCAGTCGTTGCCTGGGTCAGTGTAGCCCCAGAGCAGCATACCCAAGGAACCAGGGAGCCTCATCATGTGCCTTTGCCAGTGAATAAAATCTCAAACAGATTTACACAACTTAAAACAAATGGGAAGCAAAGGACAGAACCAAGGTCTTTAGGAAAATTAACATGCTTAATAGTGACGCACCATTTTATTTTCTGGGCGCCCGAAAGGTCTTCTTTAAAAATTTGCCTATATCTGGATATGCTGATATACTGGATATTGGGCATATGTTTGTGTTTGTTTGTTTGTTGTTTGACGCCGCACTCTGCAATATTCCAGCTATATGGCGGCGGTCTCTAAATAATCGAGTCCAGAAAATCAAGTGTTTGACATTATGAGCATCGATCCACACTTCTGTGAGCTCACGTTATAGAGTTTGCAGGTTCATAATCATACCTGAGAGTTGTGTTGAAAATATGTGTACTAGTAATCTAAGTAAGTATGCACTAATAATCAACCATAAAAAGGTCTAGGTGTGTGTCTACTAAAGGGGCATATGCACGCCCATTAGCAGATATATTAGTAGGTGTATGAAACTTACAAACCTTATCATATTCATAAACTTTGGTATATTCAAACATAAAATTACCGATTTACACAACCAAAAAGAAATGTGACACAAAGTTTGACACCAATATTGTTGAATATAATCTTACGCTGCATCCTGATTGACCAGTTAACGTTTAATTCTCTTGCCAGAATCATCAACAATGAACACCCTCGCTGTTGCACTCTGTTTGGTTCTGGTGGCGATGGCCTCAGCCACATATCCACGAGGAGAAGGATACGGCCGTGGGGGAAATGACATCTGGAACAATCAATACCCAAAGCAGGTGGCTAATATCAATCAACAACAGTCCAACAGGCAATATGTTGACCAAGATCAGTTTAACCGCAGAGGATTCCCCTATGGCGGCGGCTATGGCGGCTATGGCGGCTATGGCTATGGCGGCGCTGGCTATGGCGGCAAGGGTTTCAGATATTGAGATGATTCACTGTTTGATGGAATATACACACTGAGTATGTGAAGTGTATGACGTAATTTAATAAACCATTGCTTCACATGAGTTTTAAACTTATTTCTAACGAATTTCCCTGTACATAAACTACCTTCATAGAACTCAACTTCCAAAGCAAAAGCAGCAAAAGGAGAAACTGCAAACACCACCAACAAATGCCATCTATACTATAGAGCTCTCCATAGATGTCCATAACTATTTTGGTCCTTTGGACATGGACATGTACACCAATAGGAGTACCGCAAAGTCTTCCTCACGTTCTCGTGATATTTATCTCATGGAAGCACCACCATGAATCCATAACATATTTTACAATGGAATTGCAGAAGTCTACACAAGAATTTTATTGAAATACAGCTACTTATGATAAAGCTACTGGAGGTTCTTCTATCCTGGGGAGGCAGGTCAAAATCCATAGCCCTGTTCCACTTAACAGTACTCTTGAAACTGTTGATTTCCGTGTTACTTTAAACATGGCGTTTACATTATGTTCACTGTATCTTTTACCTTCCTCAACTATCCGTCAGTCGAATCTTCACACTTTGAATAATCTGCTCCCAAAGCCTTGTATCATCATGGGCGTTTTAATCGGTCATAGGGGAGTACTGATACAAATAATAAGGGAAATGTCCTTGACGATTTTATCTCAAACAATGATTTATGCATCTTCAAAGATGGATCTCATACTTGTCTGCATCCTGCCACTGGCACATTATCTGCCTTTGATCTTTCACGGACAGATGTAAATATTTTAAACGAGTTTGAATGGTTGGTCCATGATGACATTTGTGGAAGTGACCATTTTCCAACTACACTATCAATCCCGCTGGCGAACTTTACAAAGTGGAAGGTCGAACTTTACAAAGGCCAATTGGTCTTTATTCCAAACATGATGTACAGAATTTACGAAAGCAAACCCACATATATGTAAAACATGTTTTGTTAATGATTGCAATCAAGCTAGAACAAATAGGAAGAAAGCTGAGACATATTTCCGCCGACATCCTACCGTCCACAACCTGAATGATCATAAACTCACAAGCACCAAGTCGATGCGTATTTTTAAACAAAATAAACGTCAGTCATGGAAACGCTATGTATCTAATATCAATTCCCGCACACCCATGTCCAAGGCGTGGAACATGATTTAATAGAATAAGGGCAAAGGTTCAAAATCTGGAGTTCACCATCTCAAAGATGGTAATAAACTATTAACTACTAAATCGGAAATTGCCAACAAGTTTGGTGAAACTTGAACAAAAAAGTCAATTTTAACTGATAGTGGTGAGGACAACAATGAAATATTCTCCCTCCATGAATTACATACTGCCCTGGGGTAATATCATGACGCTACAGCAGGAGCTGACAACATTCATTATCAACACCCGAAATACTTGTCCGATTCATGTTTGGAAACTTAATATATATGATGAACATTGGACAACTGGAAAGTTCCCTCCTCCCTGGCACAATGCTATTGTCATTCATAAACCAGAGCCTGAACGGGAAGTATGGTCCATCCAATTACCGTCCCATATCATTAACTAGCTGTGTTTGTAAAAAAAATGGAGCGCATGGTCAACAATCGATCAGTCTGGTACTTGGAGACCAAAAACCTCCTGATTGACAGCCAATGTGGTTTCCGAAAAAACAGAAGTGAGTGTGAGTGTGTTAATATTTAACGTCACATCTGCAGTATTTCAGCCATATCGTGACGAGAAGAACATTTATAATACCCATATTTAAACTGAATAAAGACCTGTCAACGATGGACAGTAAAATAACTAGATTTATCACAGATTTTATTTAAAACTAGTAGATAGCAATAAAGATATAACATCATACGAAACAATACAAAATAAAAATGAGCTATCATGATCGCCAGCCACTGAAGAGAGATCACCATGCTAGGGTCCATGGGGACTTGCATTTGCAGTACTTTTGCTACCTGCATGGACCCAAGCCGGATAAAAAAAACAGAAGTACCATTGACTATTAAAAAAACCCATTGTCAACAAACTACATACTGCATCATGGGGGAGCCTGCAAAAGCAGTTTAGGAAACTTAGACACAATTCACCACTAAGGCCTAAGACTTTGTTTTTGAGCTATTAGGTCCTCCCCTGTGAATGTGTAAGCTGTTGAGCCTTCACTTGAACAGCGCCGCATTAAACCTATCACATGCAATATATCACTAAATTGCTTTCGAATCAGTTAAAGACAGACAGACAGATTTATTTGTATAAGGCCATTTGACCCATTGTACAAAATACATTTACATTTTATTTATCTAAGAGTTACCTAATTGATACTTTTTTGTGTGTGTGTGTTGAGAACACGTACATTAGAAATTTTGCAAAATTTATCATTGCATCGTTGTTGGATACTTGACAGAGTCTTTCTAAACAAAAATAATTATGATTAACAGTCTTTGGGATATACATTTCCCGCCGACTTGCATAAAGAGGACAGTTGTATATAACATGAAGTTCATCCTCAATTACATGACAGTGTTTACGTAAGACGGTATCCTCCTCAATATTAGCAAAACCCCTACGTATAATTTGAATACCAAGAGTATTCTGTCCACATCTAAATTTGGTTATTAGCCTTCTATATTCACAATGCTTAATATTTGATAAATATTTTTCACAAACGATATTAGATTTATGCAGTTTATAGAATGAGAGGGTCTTGCTGCCTAGAGATGCATACCAATCTTGAAACGAACAATCTTTAACTCTTTCGCTGAACATATGTACAAATAATTCTGCATTGCCAACGACTTGTGCAGCCCATACATCCCCAAAACCATAATGACTTAGCAAAAGTCTGATATGCGATGCCCAGTTAGGACGTTTTCTATCAGAAATGGATAATAACGTTTTATAACACTGATTTGGGTATCTGTTTGGACTCATTTGCAAAATCTTAAACCAATATTTAATGCATTTTACATAATAAATAGTATGAAGTGGATACCTTCCACATTCACCATAGGCTACTGCATTTGCAGTCCTGTAGCCCGTGTGAAGTAAAAATTTACAAAATTTGCGGTGAACAATTTCAATCGTATTCCATTTTTGGTATCCCCAATCTCAGCACCATACATTAATATCGGAACAATTTTTTTAGCAAATATAAAGAATGCTTGCGTAACCGAAATGTCATAACGTCTTATTAACTGACCAAAGTGCTTTGCTTGCTTGCTCACATAGAGTTTTACAGGCCTTAGTCCAAAATAATTTTGGAGTGAAAACAAGTCCCAAATATTTATAGGCGTTAACCGTATTCATACGTTCACCGTTATAATACCATTTCTCATTTTTGTGACAAGGGTCCTCCCATTTTAAACACGATAATTTTACTCTTTTCAGTATTAATATCCATACCCCATTTATCAGAGTATAAATATAATTCATCAAGACGCTTTTGTAATTTTAATACACTGTCTGCAACAAGTATTAAATCGTCGGCAAACAACAGGGCAATTATATTTAACACTTCCTCTGAGATAAAAACACCATCCTGGAATTTACTTTCCAAACATATAACTAATTCGTTGATAAACAAAGAAAACAGTACTGGACTAAGAGTACAACCTTGTCTTACCCCACATGAACTATCAAAATACTCAGCAATTTTCTTGCCATAATCGTATGTTACAGTTGCTTTAATATGATTATACATACTCTGGATAATACATAAAAACTTGCCATGAATACCATTTTGCAATAAAATATACATTAACTTACTCCTATCAACCATATCAAATGCTTTTCGAAAATCAATAAAAGCGCAATATACTTTTGCTTGCAAAATGAAAATGTTTTCAATAGTTGAATGATCTTTCTTAAACCCCCCTTGATATTCACCAATTATGCCTTGGTAGTCTAAGAAACATTGTAGTCTTTTATTCAGAACATAAGAAAACATTTTACCCATTATATTGAGAAGTGATATACCACGAAAGTTATTAGGATCACTTTTACTACCTTTTTTATGGGTGGCATTATTATTCCCGTTGACCATAATTTTGGTTAATGTCCACTGGTCAACACTGCATTAAACAAAATGACAAGATATAGAGTTAATACATTTTCAACTGATTTGTAAAATTCTGGTGGGAGTACATCATCACCAGGTGATTTTCGACACTTTAAATGGTGAAGAGCGTTTACAACATCTTGTTCGATAAAATCACACGATAAAATATCATCTTGATTTTGACAGTCTGGGCATAAGCTATCATTATGATGTTAAAGAAAGACTCACTGACTTTAGTTGAGAAATTCTCATCCCCTATTGACACTGGATTAAGTAATTCCTTAAAATAATCTACCCAAGTTGCGGGTGCGATGCTAGAGTCCTGCGAGCGTGCGGTAATATAACGTTTAACAAGTCTCCAAAATGTTGTACAGTTGCTATCATTCGCAGCATTAACTAATGCCTTTGTAATGCTCTGCTTAAAATGAGTCTGTTTTTGTTTACATAAAGATTTAAATTTGTTTCTAATGTTCTTGTATAAGTTATAGTTTTCCGAAGAAGACACCTTTCTGAATGTATTCAAGAGTTTATACTTTTCCCTCTTCAAGTGTTCACACTCTTCATCAAACCATTCTGGTTGTTTCTTAAAGCCTATATATTTTGACCTCTTTACTTTCATATTCCTTCCATAATATTGTATTATGTGCTGTAACTTCTCTGCGGCTTTATCAACATCAATTTCCACACAGGTTATAAATTCATTTAACATTTATTGCACTAATTCACTTTCAAAATTATTCATATAGTCTTCACTCTTATTCACGTTCCATATATATCTACACCTGTCCTCACCTAGGCTGTAATCCTGATCTAGAGTGTCTACTACATTAAACAATGATGAAAAAGAAGCAAATATGGGAAGATGGTCTGATTCAGTGCGACTTATAACTTTAAAGTCCTCTACATACTTGTAAAAGGATGATGACACACAAATATAATCTGGTGAGCTAACACCTGTTGCTCCAACATAGGTATAATCCCCTTCATCAGAAAACCGGCCA